ATTCAACACTTACTGACCACACAGGAGGGGAGAAGAGTGGAGGGGGAAGAGGCACGTGAATATATTAGGCACAGAATCGAAGAGGCATTCTACCAGCTTGAGCAGAGGGAGACAGTGAATAGCACTGTCAGCAGCAGTGTTGAGGAGGAACAGAATCAAGTAACGATGGAGTCGACTACAAAAGATTGGGACAAGGCAGAAAGTAAGGTTCCAGCAAGTACAGTGAGAGGCCCAGACAACATACTCATGGAACTCGTAAAGACACTATAGGAAAAAGAAGCAAAATGAAGTTACGGCATGTGATATTATCCAAATAAATTTGGGAGGAGAGGTACCGAATGATTGGAAACGAAGTAAAATGAGACTAATATATAAAGGCAAAGGAAACAAAGACAGCATTAAGTCATATCGTTCGATAACGGTAACTTCAGTTTTATACAGATTAGATATGCAGATAGTAAAACGTAGAATAGAGCAATGGACAGAAGATACGCAAATACTGGGCGAACTCCAAAATGGATTCCGATGAGATAGAAAGCTGGAAGATAACTTATTCGTCACCACCCAATGTATAGAAAAAGTAATGAAGAACCAAACTTCTTAATGGTTAGCTTATTTGGACATTAAGGGAGCGTACGAAAATGTGAGCCAGGAAAAACTCTGGGGTCAGTTGAAGGAGTATAATTTATATTCAAATTTGGTTACGTTTCCTCAGTAGGTGTACACAGACAATAAGGTAGTTATAACATGGGAACCAGAAACTACACAACCTGCAGCAATAAAAAGAGGATCAGGCAGGGCTGTCCACTGTCACCTCTGCTCTTCATGGTATATCTCAGTAAAATGGAAAAGAAATTAGAGCAATGCAACTTTGGTTTCTACGTGAGTTATATGGAGGGAGGAAGAAATGTAGTACAGGTAATACCAGGACTGATGTATGTGGATGACGTAGTACTCATGGCAGATAACCAGGATGCATTACAGGAACTAGCTGAAATATGTGGAGAGGAAGGGGACACCTTGGGCATTAGTTTAAGTAGTGACAAGTCTGGAGTAATGTTGTTTAACGACGAAAAGAGGGAACCCCTGAGGATACAAGACATTGTGATAGACCATGTAGGTAAATACAAATATCTGGGAGTCTGGCTCAATGAGGGAAGGAAATATCTAGAGGAACATGAGGAGAATATAACAAGAAAAGGGAAAAGAAATTCATCTATTATGAAGCTCAAGGCATTATGGAGCTATCATAGATATGAAGTAATCAGAGGCATATGGAAAGGAGTGATGGTACTGGACTTTCTTTTTGCAATGCAGAAATCAGACGTTCATCAGGATTAGAAATTCGACAAAGAAGCGTGGGAAGATTGGCACTGGGAGCACATGGAAAAACACCAAATGAGATGCACAGGGGAACATGGGATGGTCGTCTTTTGAAAGCAGGGAGGCAATTAGTAAGTTGAAATTTCAGCAAAGGTTGACCGAAATATATGATACGCGGTGGGCACGGAAGATATTCAAGTTTTTATACATGAAAAGTTTAAACGCAAAATGGACAAACCGAACCCAAAAGCTTACATTTAAATACCTACACACTGGTGATGGGGCTGAACAGACTACGTCAGTGAAAAAAGGGGTGTAAGAGGCAGAGAGGAAAATGTGGGAGGGAAGACTGCAGGAGAAATCAGCTCTAACAGTGTACAGGTCGCGAAAGCAGGACATAAGAAACGAAAATCACTGGGCAGTGCTTTGCTGTTCGAGGCAAGAACGGGAGTTTTGTGGACGAGGACGTATAGGGCTAAATTTCAGGAGACAGACACATTATGTGCCGCTGCCATAATGATAGCGAGACACTATAGAGCACTTGGTTTTGAAGTGCACGGGGCTTCGTCCTGCCCTCCCTGAATGGGTAACGGATTTGGCTGGTGCCCTGGGTTTTACTTGTGACGATGGGAGGACGGAAGAGAAAAGGATTACAGTGACAAAGAGGCGATTAGACGATTGGTGGAAATTATCTAGAGAAAATTGAATGATGCACAACTAACTAGCACAGCTGGGGACAGGCGGGACAGAGAAAAATTGGGACTCCCTCCCGCGTGGCTCCGGTTCAAAGTCTCAAGCCTGTCTCCCAGTGGGTTCGGTGCTGGGGTAAAGCCGACGAGGTTTGACCAGAGGAAAATCGGCGACTCCCTCGCCGGGGGGAAGAGGCAGGGGGGTGATGTTTTTAGTTTTTTTTTGTTGTTTTTTTGCACAATCCCCCAAAGGTCATTCTAGTGATATCCCACACTGCGTGGTGATAGTCAGGGGGAGCAAATTGGTCTCAGAAGGGCGGGAGAAATCATATATTTTTGTCTTTTTTAGACCTAGGCTAGGTGATGCAAGCTGCCGCCCGTTACAAAGGGTATAGCCATTAACAGCCATCCAATCCACCATCCTGGCTGGGTACACTGGGCGGCGGACGCCACGTTGAAGGCTGCTCCCGGTTTGTGCACGTCGCCCCGTACGAGTTTCGTTGTGTTTTGAGAATCTTGTGGGTGATATACAACTGCTGTTGCTTTATCACGAGCTGAAAAATGCTTTCTTCGTCTGCTCGGGGTAAGAACAAGAAACTGGGTGGTATCATAATTTATTAAAAGTGAGAATATATTAGTTCCTTGAGCGTTCCTTGTTTGTTATTGTGATGCGCTCGCAGTCACCTTGTTGTGAAAGATAGTAAGTGAATGTTCGTGGGTACTCGAGTTCAAAGGCTTGCTGCCGCCTTTGCCCTGTTATTCATAATATTCCTGTCATCCTGTTATATTAGTCTATTCCCGATCAGCTGCAAGCTTATGTAACACGCAGTGCACAGCTGTCGGCGATCCGGTGACTACGGGCCTACCGATCGCTAATCGCTGCGCTCGCACATCCTCTGACTGCCGAACTCGCTAGCAAGTTGCAGACAGCACGCGAAGCAGGTGGGTTTCATGTCTATAAGCAGTTTTTCGGAAGCTTTGTTCCTTTCCTTCTGCTTAAATGGCGCTGGTACATCATCTGTGTAGGCTGGTTATGCAAAAGCCAAATTTGGTTCTATCGCAATTCTCACTAAGCTGTTTTCAAGTTCTGCCACAGATTCTTACATTTTCGCACTCACACAAATATGGTACCTGTTTAAAAATCTGTTACGCGAAATTAATTTTAGCTTATTCGTATCCGCGGCCGAGTAATTTCCCCGTGCCTTGTGGTACGTAGTTGCTAAAACGACCAATGCTCGGAAAACAGTTAGTACGCTATTAAATACACAATTTTGTGATAACGTTACATTGAATTGTACTTAGCAGCCTGAACGAACTAATTGATCAGCGGTTTAAACTTGTCAGGCAAGCACGCGTGGCCGTAGTTTTACCTATATTCCACGTCTGTATACGAACGCAACTTGCCACACGAATAATGCCGTATGCAAAATCAATAGCCGCACACTTTTATTGAATAACAATAGTTACTTCGTCTGTAGTGTAGCAGGCTCACTTGCAAATCTCCGCGTCAAACGTCATTTTGCTAGTTTGGTGTTTATTTCATGTTTGACACAATTAACAGGGGCGTTGGGACCAAAGGCGAATAAAATCACCTGACTAGGTCCCCAAGCCCTGTTACAGAACTCAACAGTAGAGCATAAAGTGAGAAAATAAAAATAAAAAATACCATCTCGCATCACCTAAAAAGAATTGTATTTTTTTCTCACAACGTAAAACATTTTGCAACACAACTTATTATGTATATGCACTGAAAACATCAAAGTTATCCCAGATACTTTTTTTTTAATCAACCATGGAAGGGATTTCTTAGGCCAATTTGATACACTCGATCGTGTCTCTTATTCGATAGGATAATGTTTGGTGCCGTAATTAGTTCTAATTTTAGGATTTAGAAAGTGCTGACAGCTTAAAGTGTAATTTGTTTGCTAAGGTAAGTAAGTGTCGTGAAAGATGACAGAATTAGCGCTAATTTGAGTATGAATTATGATAGCTACCCTTAGGCGGAAAAAGTTATCAATGTTAATGCTTTATGTTTAATAAAACTAGGAGACGTCAAATCGAAGAATGGTAGATTTAAAAAATAAAACCACGCTCACCCCCCCCCCCCCCCAAAAAAAAAAAAAAAAAAAAACTGCGAATATATTTTAGGAAAAGGTTAAGGACCTTGGGGTGGACTTTTAAAAATCAGAAATGGTTGAGCGTTACGTCCGGCATGTATTTCGTATGGAATGTCCCAGTACTAGGAAGGTATTCCCGGCATAGAAGACAACGTTTTAAGTAAGCTTTCTCGCACATTTCGCTTTTTCTTTAATGAATCATCGAAAACTTTTTTTTAACTGCTAAATTCGACCTTCGTCCGTGAGGTTCAAAGACTACGAACTTACATTCAAAACCTTCAAATTGTACGAACCTATGTCTGCATAAAATTTAAAAAAATTGAACTTTTCTAACTTAATTCGTAAAAAAGTTGCAATATCCGAACCCGAATTTTTAGAAACCTTGACACCTCAACAGTGTTTGAAAGTAGCAAACTTTTCGATTTCAAACATCAACGAAGTGTAATTTTTTTCGAATCTTGACGACCTCGAACCTCGAAAAGTTCGCAGCTTCCACAGTTAACCCCATCTCGACGCCGCTGCCTCACGTACCAATCGACCATGACAAATGGCATACCCCCCCCCCCCCCCCTTTTTCTGCTCTCTCTCTCTCTCTCTCGCTCTGTCTCGGATGAGGCGAATTTCGACCATTCCCTCAGCACGCTGCCAATCCCCGGGATTAAAGGGCGATTCACACACACTTGCGTCGAGTCCGACCTAGTGCAACCGCAACGGCTCGCGACATGGTATAAAAACCGGTCTCGTTGGAGCCGACGCAATTGCTGCCATAGCAACCCGCACGTCGCGAACAGTCCAAGTTTCACTCGGCGGACTCGACGCCAGCGTGTGAAGCAACCATAACTTCGTGGACGCGAAGGGGACCTGCACTGACCTGAAAAAGAGCCGCGAGACGCAGCTGGCCGTCTCGACAGGATTGGCCGGCTGCTTGATCTCCAACTCCTGCTCCATGGCGTATCCCTTTGCGATGCTTCCGCCACCGCTGCCTTCAGCGACTCCCGACCGGCGTCTGCGGGCCCTCGGTTCGACGACGCAGCTTATCGCGCTACTTCCTGGGGGACATCCCCGCCTGTCCGGCGCGCTGATTATTCCTAATTGCGTCCATAAACGTTGCCTTTACGAGCTCCAGTTATCGGGAACGTAACAAAGACGAATGGAATGCCAAGACATCCTTTCTCTCTTTCTCTCTCGAAAGGCGACCGAGTCGTGGAGTCGCAAAAAGGGGCCTCGTAGACGGACCCGCTCGGAAACTGCGCGATCCAGTCGTGCTGGGTGCGGGGGAAGCGTTGGCCGACTGTGTCGAAAGCTCGCTTTGCTGCAGAGCCGTTCGATTCCCACCCTTGCCAGGTTCGATATGGGTGAGCATAGTACCGGCGTCTGTACCACTATTTGCGTGATGCAGGTTGAAGGCTTCAGTGCAACAGTGGTACTGCACTGGTAAAATGTATCGCCTACACAGCATAAGACAGTGACACTTAAAAGGCAAGCTGACCTCATAAAACAAGAATGTCTAATTTCCTTCTTTTTTTTTTTTTTTGTATGGCTTTGATTGTCCCGCGGACAACGTGCAGTGTGTGCATCCAGATTCCGGAGGAACCAAACAACCTGTACAGTTTGATATGAAGAAAAAAAAAAGCGATTTAAAGCCAAGTGCCGAATTGACTTCAAAAACAATTGGTTTGTGACATTCGGAACATGCGGTTTGTGAAGATCAGAGGTTGCATCCGGTTTGTGGTCTCATCTTTAGCCGCCTGCTGGTGTCTGACAATCGCTATAGGGGTGTAAACCATTCCAGTGCAGTGCAGACCAAACGAAGATAATCTGTCTTAAGATTCATCATCTCCTTTATGTAGATAAGTCCGAGAACAACCCTAACGTCCACAGAAGTCTTTTCAAAATCAGCATCTAGATATCGGACATCGCTATAGGGGTGTAAACCATTCCAGTGCAGTGCAGACCAAACGAAGATAATATGTCTTAATTAAGATTCATCATCTCCCTTATGTAGATAAGAGCGAGAACAACCCTAACGTCCACAGAAGTCTTTTCAAAATCAGCATCTAGATATCGGACAACCTCTGATAAAAGACCTTTTGCCGAATTACCCAAGCATCAAAAAGAATGCCGGGAACGTAAGTAAACGCGCTGCGCGTGCTGGCGTCTTCAGCTCTGGCTGTTCGAAGGCAACAATTCAAAGCAAATGGCACTTCGCACGCAACGTCTACTTTCCTGCACGGCATTTGAGTCTGTTCTTCACGTGATCAGATGTCGGTGAATAGTGGCGCGGCGGCACGTGGAAAACAGAAGCGTACCTCTAGATTAGCGCAAAGGATTAGCGTATGGCGACTAGCGGCGAACGCCCGGAGGATCCAACTCCGGTCACAAATGCGTGGGGAATGTGAGAAAATCGTTGTTTCTTCAATATTTCGGGGATGTACGGAACGACAATAGTTTTTGACATAACAACGGAATATTTTACAATCATATGCGTTAATTGTGTAACACGTAATTTTTTTTTTTTTTAATAGCTTGATTGAAGTTATGGAGCAGACGACACGGCGACGTCACACCGCTCACGTGACCCGCTCCGGCTAACCCAAGAAGTCCTCTCCGCTGCGTAAAAAAAGCGTCTGCTTCTTAAAATTTTTACACACATCCAAAATTATTAAAACTTTAATAAATTGTTTAGTGCTTTACCAACTTCACGCCAGACTAGTTTCGAAAAGTGTGAACTCGACGGTTATTTTTTAATCAACCATGTCGCATCGGTCTTCATGTGTTCTCCCCTAGGGTGGGCGCCTCCTGGAACCCTGAGTACCACGTGACTTGCACCTAGCTGCTCTGTCGGCCATGTTGTAGGTAAAACACGCGAATCAAAGGACTGCGTCATGATGCTGCGTAGGAGGCTGCGTTTGATTGACCTACACGTAGCCAGGATTTTATTTCGGGGAGAGGGGAAGGGGTCATATAGCACGTATCCCCCCCCCCCCCCCCCCCCCCCTTGGCGAAGCAGGGTGAGAGTGGCGGTACGGACGCTCACGCAAAGACTAGCGAGGCGTTATTCAGAAAAAACGGGTCAAGCTGCATTGTCATTTCTAAGGACGGAGCAGCCTTCATTTACAGGAATACGGGCGTGGTGGCTCACTGTTCTACTGTCGTCCTAGTTGCGGTCTAGCAACTTTAAAAGCTTCCTCATAACACACCACTCTCCTCTCTTTTGGAGGGAGCGCTGCATTACCAACGCGTGAAGGCTAGACAGAACACAATGATAGCTATAGACTAGTGTCTGGTCTGTTCCATGGGCGCCGCCATGTTTGTTTATGCTGACTCAATGACACAGTAATGAAAGGAGGGGGGGGGGGGGCTGCGCTTTTAGCAAGACATGTTTTTCTTTTTAGACCTTTATAGTCACGGAGCTCCAAGAATGACACCAATGCCAAGAGTGCTGTAAAGAGCAAAAACCTCGTTTTATGCGCAGCTCCTCTCTTCGTAAGAGCCTGCGCTTGAGATTATGATTTCCTATTTTTATCGCTGGGGGCTGGGATTTCGGAATCTGGTCTATATGCAACCTGCAATGCTCTTTGGTTTGGCGCTATCAGCTGCATTGTGAACAATGCAGCTGCAGCTACCAGGGGGAACAATGCATGAAAATTAAGGAAATTGACAATATGAGAATAAATTATGTTTTAAAATTTTGCAAGGGATACTTGTTAGTGAGATTAGGTGGTAATTACTGAAACATGATTTATCGCCATTTTTATGAATACGAATCACCTTCCCTACTTTTCAATCCTCGGGAAGCGTCCCAAGGTCAAGCGAGACACACTTAGGTACGCACGGCCGTCCGTGTATGGTTGACGAGGCCAGAGGAATTAATGGCGTCTTCGCAAGAATTCGTCCACCGTTTCGAGGGCACGACTTTTTTTCCCTCTTGAAATGAGGGAACGAATAGAGAAATGTGCGCCTCGTCAACTAGCTCGAGACGCCCCTCTCAAAGCGCATGCGCTGATGAAGCGGGCAACTTCCCTCGATGTTAGACGAAAACTAGACTACTTCGCTTGTTTGGGGAAAGAACAAAACACAGCGACAAGCGAAACAAGAAAATATTGTAGCGTAGTCCTATCATCGGAGATCCGCGAACAAAGAAATAACGGTCGATGATAAACAAAAATCAATATAAAGTAAATTGTACGCTATAGGTTCGTGTTCAGGTGTTAAGGGTACTCTCGAAAAATATAGAGCCAATTATACAAAATTCTAAACATTGAAAGGCATCTAGCAGGCGGCGTCTAAATTTATCTCAAGATGAAAAACTGCTTCTCCGCTCGGTCTTCAGCAGGCGCTTTACGAGCCCATTAGGGCAGCCTCGAGTCTCCGCTGCTTCAACTGCACGTGTGATCGTCACGTTCTTCGAAAGAAAAACCTTGCATCTGGCGGGAGAACAAACGGGCGGCCATTCTTAATACGCAGGTGCTACGGATGACGTTCTAATAAAATACGGCAGCGAGCTGCGTCACTTCGTAACCTGGGGTCGCGCTTCGAAGAAGGATTGTGTAATTAACCCCTCCATTTATTTGATGCGAATATTTATAAATAAGGCTAGAGTTGCCATTCGCCTCGCGGTACTCCGCGTCGACATCTGATACGCATAAAGCCCTCCGGCAAGCCAAGAGCCTTCTTCGTAGACTTACCCCTGGAAGGTTAAGACACGGGGGTCCAGAAAGCACGAACCTTTCCTCCGGCAAGATGAAGTTGCTCAAGCTCATCTTGCTCGTGTGCTGCGGCTCAATCGGTAAGCAAGCTGCTAGTTTAAGTTAAAACATAACAGAAAAAAAAAGCTGTATTATTTAAAAACATTGCGACTGATAAAACTGGTTTTTTTATTATTATTATTATTTTAGTATGCTTAAATGAACCGTAAAGCGGACAAGGGAGAAAAACCACGCAAATCTCACGGATCACGCCTCTAGAGGCGCTCTGCCATATGTACCCGCATAGCACTTGGAAAGCCCAGTTGCTGCAACCTATACTTCGTTTCAGCTTCGCTCCAAGCGCGGCCGATGGCCGAAGGGCCAATCAAACAGCGAAAGAGGCACAACGTCATGGCGTGCACTCTGCAGTTGATAGGACCAGCTGGTATTCGCCGTCTCTCTGTGCGCGCTCCTCCGCCGTCTGGTCCTTTCAAGCGCGGAGACCACACCATGACGGTGCTCTTTTTGCGCTGTTCGATTGGCCCTTTGGCTCATAACATCGGCCGCGCTCGGACCGAAGCTGAGACGAAGTATAAGAACGCAGCTTGGTGAACGACAGCTGTAAATGCGCTTACACACAATCTAAAAAAAGCCCCTGTGTCTGCCTTCCCGCGCAACACTCGGAGAGCCAATCACCGCACCTTACGGAGCCAGATCAGCGAATGACGATGCCGAAACATATGTTTAGACCAAAACACGCAGTCTGAGTTGTGACATTAAGCAATGCAAGCGTGACGTTTTGCATTGCTTAATGTCACAACTCAGACTGCGTGTTTTGGTCTAAACAGATGTTTCTGCATCGTCATTCGCTGAGCTGCCTCCGTAAGTTGCACTGATTGGCTCTCCGAGTGTTGTGCGGGAAAGCAGACGCACGGGGTTTGTTTAGAGTGCAAGGCGAGTTCAGGCCCTTTCATTATTGCTTCACAGCCAATGGGAATGGGGCATCAGTCAATAAGAGAGCTTGAAAGCAAATCACGAAGCGAGAAGCCACGCCATTCGTTTCTTAAGGTGACAAGGACTATAAACGTATTTTAAGACTAAACATATCGTCAGCCACGTCACTGGTCAAGCTCCTTTCGCAGACGGCACCGATCGGCTCTACCAAGCGCTTTGCGAGAAAGCAGACGCTCTAGATTTCTCAGAGTGCAAAGGGTAATTTTCATCCCTCGTAAATGCACCATCGGCACACCTTCAGTTCATCTACAAGCTCAGCAAATAAAGAATCGTCGAAAAAACAAAGACGGAATCGTTTTGGTTTCTACACTTGCTTCTCCATGCAGCTATGACCAAGAGGCACTTCTGTACGTTGCCCCCAGAATCAGGACCCTGC